AAGATTACAGGGATGTGTAAGGTTACTAATTGACCGTGCCCTTCCCTCCTCGAGTAAAGAGCATCAAGGCGTGTCCATCCCCCAAGACGTTGCCCATCTACTCGTTGTGGTGTATATGCCCATCACTTCTCCCACTCTCCTGCCTCCTGTCACCCGATAAATATATTCTATATGCCACCTTGATTTGATCTGTTAATACCAAATTTGCTGGTGAGACATGTGCTGCTGGTTTGCATTCGGATACTTCACTCAGTAAATGTTCCAGCTGTATCAGAATATACAAGGGTGCTATATCACCATTGTTCTTAAGCTGAATAGTATTCCATGGTATACATATACCACATTTTATTTAATCACTCGATGAATATGGGCACTTGTTGTTTCACAGCTTTGCAATTGTGAATTGTGCTGCTATAAACATTCGAGTGTAGGTGTCTTTTTCATAAATGACTTTTGATCTTTGGTAGATGCCCAGTAGTGGAATTGCTGGATCAATGGTAGATCTACTTGTATCGCTTTGAGGTATCTCCATATCGCTTTCCGCAGAGGTTGAACTAGTTTGCAGTCCCACCAGCAGGGTAAGAGTGTTCCTCTCTCTCTACATCCACACCAGCATTTGTTTGGGACTTTTGATGAAGGCCATTCTCACTGGAGTTTAGTGAAATCTCATTGTGGTTTTGATTTGCATTTCTGTGGGCTTGTCTGGTAGCCCAACCTTCGTGCCTTGTCCTTTGGAACCTGAGGCCCAGAAGGCCGGCTGACTCCCCAGCCTCTCATTGGCCCCAGCTCAATTGGTCAACAAAGGGCAGGGACTGTCATTTGTCCGTGACTTGATTTGTTTTGATTGAGGACAGAGTGGAATGGGTAAGAGAACCACTGCTGTCACCAGGTGCCACAGGGACAGCATGGAAGAGGAAGACTGTGTGGTGATTCTCTACCTCCTCCTGCTACTCAATTACCCTTCCAAGCCTCTCATCCGATCCACACCCCCAGTGTTCCCTAAGCAATGTCTCCTCACTGCCCCCTTTGCCCCTCCTGCCTCTGGGGAATGGGCTTTCTAATCCACCTTCTCATTCCTCTTTGTTCCTCAGTCTTTCCTCCAGCTCCAGTCTCCCATACCTTAATACTCTTTCTTCTGAGCCATTCCTGGTCCCCACAAATAGCTCCCCAGTTCCCATCTGCCCCACACGGAGCCTGGATTATCCCCCTCCTCCCCAATACCCCCAAGTGGTGGCCCAAGTGTCCACTAAAATGCCCAGCTGTCCCACTAAAAGAATTAGGAGAATCAAGACTCCCTACAGTGACCCCTCTCCTGCTGCCCCATCGTCTCTCACACAAACTCTCCAGCACAGGGTCCAGACCTGGGCGCAGGCTGAGTTCCTTCAATGCCAGCAGGAGGCTCCTTGGGGGCATCATGTTTTCCTCGATGTCATACAACAGCATATCGATGACCATCTCTATGCTGTGCGACCCCAGAGCCAGGAGGACTGATGTACACGCGTCCTCCACTTCTCTCTGTGGATTCTAGAAAGACAAGGACTAGCTGTTCCCAGGGTCATCCCCAAGACAAGTCCCCAAGCTTCTGAGAACCACATTTCATCAATAAGTGATTGTCTTCTCTCAAATGGGGGGGGGAGAAGGACCCTCTTCAGCCACCTCTTCCTGTTGACCAGAAAAGGGGACAATCAGAAAAGACTCCCCTGTCCATTCACTTACTTGGTAATGATAGGGTTCTGTCATTTGCCTTTGCCTGGCCCCCTCTGCCTTCCAGGCACTGTGCTAGGCCCTGGGGATACTAAGAGGAATGACGAGCTGAGGCAAACTCATTGTGTCTCTTTGGACACAGGTGGCAGAGGAAGCTCTGGAGACCATTGGCCACCTCTTCTGTCTGCTGTCAGTTGAAAATCTTGAGAGTCGTGTTTACTGGTTAACCAAATGGTTCACGACTCTGACTTCCACAGCAGTGAGGCCACTCTACATGTGCAAGGTGACTGGGGGGTGAGAAGGAAACGTGTCTAGTTGGTGCATTCCGTATTTATTGAGTACTTGGTGCTGCAGAGTTTGTTTGTAAATAAGCTTTCACCGGAACTCGGCCACGTCCACTCACTCACACACAGTGTGCGTGTCCTCCAAGGCTGCCTCTGACTACCGCAGTGGAGGGGCAGCCGCCACAGAAACCCCATGGCTGGCAGAGCCTAAAGCATTTCCCATCTGGCCTTTTACACAGAACGTTCGCTGAGCCCTGAGTGATGCAGCCCACATTTACTGAGAAGCTGCTAGAAGCAGGGCTGGGGAAGTAGAGTTGGATCCGCCATGGTGCTTGTGTCAGAGCTGCTTTCTACCTATGGGGATGGGGTGACTAGAAGAAGCAGAGAAAGCATGATCAATTGGGCCTGCAGGGATTTAAGGAAGCTTCTCAGAGGGGGTGACATTTGAATTGTACCTTGAAGAATGAGGCAGACAGCATAGACCAATAATGAATAAGGAGGTTGAATCAGCACTAAAAAGTCCCCCAGGAAAGAAAAGCCCAGGACCTGATGGCTTCACTGCCGAATTCTACCAAACATTTAAAGAACTAATAAGAACACGTGTCAAACTCTTCCCCAAAATTGAACAAAATGGAAGAAACTCCTTGTATGAGGCCGGCATTACCATTATGCGAAAACCAAGCAAGGACACTCTAAGAGAATGCAATCATAGGCCAATATCCCTGGTGAACATACATGCAGAAATTCTCAACAAAACACAGACAGCCAATTCAGCAGCACATTAAAATCATCGTTCACCCTGATCAAAGGGGATGTTCTGTACACACAGATTCATGAATATGACAGAACACATTAAGACAATGAAGGAAAAGGACCATGTGATTATCTTGAGTGATGCAGAAAAAGCATTTGACAAAATTTCACATCCTTTCATGATAAAAACTCTCAACAATTAGGTACAGACAGAATGTGCCAGAACACAGTAAAGAGCACACGTGACAGGCCAAAGCCA